TAATTCTTTCGAATTATTTACCTATATTTTCATCACTAAAAAACTCCTCTCCCAGAAATTACACTTTTGTGAAGTGGATAAATTCAAAAAATTGTCAGTTTTTTTCCTTGTAAATAAAGCTCATGCTAAAGCTCATAAATTACTTGATCTTTAAACAATACAATAAAACTTAAAAAATTGAAAAAAAAAAAACAACAATAGGTAAAATAAAATCTATACGTGGTAGAGCCATGCTGCAGCTATATTATGGTTGTAGCAGGAATGGGTCGGCTCGACCGGGGAAGGACCACGCTCTCACAGAATACCAGCGTAAAATAGCAACTAAAAGCTGCTGTGTTTCGTATGGTGAGTGTAGAGAACCGGAGACCCTTTTTACTGGAAACGAGGCATTCCATCTTAGTCCTCACGGGTGACAACGCATCTGCATTTTGACTCTTAATCGAAGATAGATGTAGATGTCTATGGGCCACAGCGACCACTTACCATCAGGTGGACTGTGTGCTCGTTTGTCACCCTTATCCTATAAAAAAATATTTGAACTTTATTGTTCTCATAAAGAATATGCCTACTTATAAGTATAATTATAATAAATGATACATTACTCTTTGTGTTGGTGTAGCTTTGTAGTTATAAAATTAAAATTAGGCCCAAAGTAACTGATAAATTTTTAAACCGAGAAAAAATTTATTAAAAGAAAAGTTTTTTACCCATCTACACTGTTCATATACCAGTTTTGTTGAAAAGTAAATTAACCTTTACATAATTATTATAAACAAAATCGAAGTCTGTAATATTAAAATAACTGGCTTAATTAAATTAGGGAGTTATTTGCATGCTGTTAATTAACCATTTTTAAAATATTTGTCTGTCTGTGTGTCCGGGCTAATCTTCGAAATGGCTGAACTGATTGTGTTGAAACTTTACGAACAGATAGAGGGCAGTGCCAGGAGTGATCTAAAGCGTATCCGAAAAACTTACAGATTATTTTTGCACTAAACGAAAAATTAATAGAATAAATGGTATTTTATTATCTTACGTCTAAATAACGCCACATTAATAGATCCTATCCAGGTGAAGCTGGGCGGGCTTTTTTTATAGGATAGGGTGACAAACGAGCACACAGTCCACCTGATGGTAAGTGGTTGCTGCGGCCCATAGACATCTACATTTATCCTCAACAAAGAATCAAAATGCAGATGCATCGTCACCCGTGAGGACTAAGATGGAATGCCTCTTTTCCAGTAAAATAGGTCTCCGGTTCTCTACACTCACCATACGAGACACGGCAGTGTCAATCTGCCATTTTACGCTGGTATTCTGTGAGAGCGTGGTTCTTCCCCGGTCGAGCAGACCCATTCGTGCTGCAACTATACTACTAATATAGTTATGTAATATAACTCAGAATATAGAAAGAACTTTATTTTTTGCAAAACTTTCTTTGTACACAAGTATATAAAAACTTTACAATAGGTCAATTTTCTTGAATCAGAAAAAAATATATGCGTAAACTCCGAACGATATAACATTATAAAGATTAAAATGAAGCTCACAATGGCAATGCTCATAAATGATATAAACTTGTGGTTTGCTTTAAACTTATTACATAACACAGATCTTTCAGCCTTTTACTATAAAGACAATTCAGATGTTTTGTTTAAGTACTAGCAATGATATTTACATTACTTGTATTCCTTTTACAACTCCTGGTAAGCTTAAAATTATTGTGTTAGGAGTAGTTCACGATAGTATTCGAATGGCGGATTCGAACCGACGACGTTATGAGTTTGCGGTTCGCACCCTGCTATTAGGCTACTGTCGCTTATTTGGAATCACTAACTAATTATTATGGGAACACTAAAACGCAAAATGCAACAGGTAGGTAAGATGTGGGATCTTAGAACTAAGAACATAAATGTGAAAAGTTCGCTACAAACCACGTTCGGGGTTGTTGTGCATAGCAGTTCCAAGATCCTTGTACTTCCTATAGATCCTGTAGTATTTAAGGTACTCAAGAGGTTCTTATTAGGTATGAAAATATCATCATTTTTTATAGTATAAAGGTGACAAACGAGCACACAGTCCACGTGATGGTAAGTGGTTGCTGTGACCCATAGATATCTACATCTATCCACGTTTGCGAATCAAAATGCAGATGTGTTGTCACCCGTGAGGACTAAGATTGAATGCCTCGTTTCCAGTAAAAAGGGTCTCCGGTTCTCTACACTCATTATCATTATTACATCCCATTAACAGTCCACTGCTCCATATAGGCTCCCATGAATTCACTCTTATTACAAGGATCTCCCTATCATCTCTCCTATCCCCGATTTGCCATACCTGCAACGCTTGGTAGATGGGTTGGCAACGACATTTTTTTATTATTATTGGATCATCATCATCATCATCATTACAGCCTTTCATAAGTCCACTGCTGAACATAGGCCTCCCCCAAGGAATTCTATAAAGCACAGTCCTGAGCCACCTGCCTCCATCGACTTCCTGCATGTCTTACCAGGTCATCACTCCATCTCGTGGGGGGTCGCCCTACACTTCGCCTACCGGTACGAGGCTGCCACTCGGGAACCTTTCTTCCCTATCGGTTGTCGGTTCTTCGAGCTATATGGCCGGCCCACTGCCACTTCAGCTTACTAATCCGTTGGGCTATGTCGGTTACTCTGGTTCTACTGTGGATATCCTCAGAAACTCCGAGCATAGCCCTCTCCATAGCTCGCTGAGCGACATTGAGCTTCCTCATACGGCCAGCAGTGAAGGACCACGTCTCAGTTCCGTAAGTCATCACTGGCAACACGCACTGGTTGTACTATTTCGTTTGATTTTGAGGTATGTCTGACGAGAAGATATGTCGTAGCTTCCCGAACGCTGCCCAGTCGAGTTGAATCCGTCGATTGGCCTCTCGGTCGAAGTTGGACATACCTAGTCGGACTATTTGTCCCAGGTAAACATACTCGTCAACAAATTCGAGCTTAGTGCTCCCAACAACTATCGGCATAGGTGTGACATGAAAATTAAACATAATCTTTGTTTTGTCCATGTTCATCTTAAGACCCATCCGTTGGGAAACACTATTGAGCTCATTGAGCATATTGCTTAGGTCCTCCAGCGATTCTGCCATAAGGACTATATCGTCGGCAAATCGAAGGTGAGTGATGTACTCGCCATTGATGTTAATACCGTATCCTTTCCAGTCCAGAAGCTTGAAAACGTCTTCCAATGCAGCGGTGAAGAGTTTCGGGGATATAACATAACTCTGTCTTACACCTCTCTGCAATGGGATAGGTTTCGTACTCTGGTTCTGTACTCGGATAGCCATCGTAGCTCTATTGTACAAACACTTCAGCACTTCGATATACCGACAGTCAACTTGGCATCGCTGAAGGGACTGCAGCACCGCCCAAATTTCGACGGAATCAAAGGTTTTCTCATAGTCCACATACGCGAGACATAGTGGCAAATTGTACTCTTCGGACTTCTGTACAATTTGCCGAAGGGTATGTATGTGGTCTATGGTGCTAAAGCCCTTTCGGAAACCGGCTTGTTCGGGAGGCTGGAAGTCGTCAAGTCTGCGCGCGAGACGATTCGTAATGACTCTCGAAAACAGCAGGTAGACGCGGCTCAGAAGGGAAATCGGTCTGTAATTCTTCAAGAGAGCGTTGTCACCTTTCTTGAAGAACAAGACCACCGCACTTCTGATCCACGCCTCCGGTGTAATGCCACCATGGAGGACGGAATTAAAGAGCTTCTGAAGGACTTCAAGTACCGGTCGTCCACCCGCTTTCAGAAGCTCCGCTGTAATTCCATCCTCGCCTGGAGCCTTGCCGTTTTTAAGGTGCTGGAGAGCCATTCTAATCTCGCTCAGACTGACGTCCGGGATATCTTCGGAATAGTGTCAGATAAGACTCGTTCTTGGATCGTTACTCACACTTGCGTGTGGCTCCAACCATGACGTGTACAGCTGCCTATAGAACCTCTCAATCTCACTCAAAATCTCAGGTGTCCCGGAAATGATGCTGCCACATTCGGTCTTCAGCTTTGACAGTTGGCTCTTTCTGGCACACAGATCTCTGGCAAAGACTTTGGAGCCTTGGTTCCGCTCGATCGCTTCTTCAATACAAGCTGTATTGAAGTTGCGTAAGTCCTGCCGCATGCATTTGGAGATCTGTCTGTTCAGTTGCCTGTATGCTGTCAGAGCTTATATATATATATATATATATATATATATATATATATATATATATATATATATATATATATAGAATTGCTCACCTAAAGTATAGAATTAAGAAAATTCTTTGATGATTATTATGTGAAGTTAAAAACTGCATAATCTAACACCGAAGCTAATTTTTTTAATTAATACCCACATTGAGACAATCGCAACAGTGTGACGTTGTAAATAACTTGAACGGAGCGTATAATCTTTTTTATTTGTTAAAGAGCGTAATATAGATGAAGAGGTAAGATTATTCCTTTCATTTTCTTCTATGGTTATTGAAAAATAGAACTAAAACTTTTAGTCTTATCTTTTCTTGGAAATTGCGGTAAATCATCATAATCCACTATAAAACTTCAAAATTCGGCGATTCTTTAAAACGTTAGAGAATTGTACCATTGTTTTGCTTAACTGATTTATCAGAGCATGAAATTACATCAACATGTATTGGTAGGTAATATTAACCCTCTCCCTATCCCATGAATAGGTAATATATGAACTTTTCGATGGTTTAACTATAGTGTCTCTGTAGTGGACAGGGAAACTGTCAATGAGACATGTACCTATGTACCTGCAACGTTGTATAACATATTTAGTTACTTAATTTTCAAATAAACTTTTATTTTGCTTGCTTTTGAAACAAAACTCAAGAAAAAAAATAACTATACATTCATATTATTGCAATTATATCAATTATAAGGCATGCTTTTTCAATTAAAATTGATATATTATTTTAAATATTGTTTTTTTTATTTCTGCATAGCTTTCCATGACTGATGCATTAGAAGTACCCAAATTGAAACTCAATAATGGAAAAATGATGCCAGCTATTGCCTTAGGTACCTATTTAGGATTCGGTCAGGTAAGTCCACACGTTACAAATTTAATCATTATGTATATTATAAAACATAATTGAGAAGAATACTGCAGGTAAATAGTTGCATGATACTATTACCATATGTAGTTATGTACACAGAAATAGATCGGTTCAAATCAGTGTAATGTTGGGCGAATATTGTCAATGAAGAATTATTACTTCATTTATAAAATACTGTAGTATACAATTATATAATGTAGTATTAAGCTTAAATATATCTACTGGCTATATTATAATACGTACCTAGTACCTACATAATATCCCAATTTGTGTTGTTGGGTATCTAATTCAAGCGGAGGAAATTTTATAATTCCTCACCATTTTCTAACGACTTCAAAAAGGAGATGGTAGTCAATTCGACTGTATGTCTTTTTTATGTGTGTTACCTCATAACTTTTCACTGGATGAACCGATTTCGATGATTCTTGTTTTATTTGAAAGCTGGTGCTTCACATGTGGTCACATAAATGATCAAGGTGTGACCAATAGTTTTGAGTTATTCTCAATAATTTATATTGAAGTTGGTTGTACAAAATTTAAATTTTCTATTATATTATTAAACTTGGTCCGATCTTCGCAATAAAAAGTTATACTATCTATCTTTAGTTAAAGTAGACTTCAATATCTTGTATGCTCCTTTTTTGGAAGTTTTGTAATATTCCATTACCCATCCATCTATTTAATACAGCACGTCAAAGGTTCATTGCTGAGCATAGGGCACTGAACATAGACAACATTTATCGCCTCATAGGGGGGATATTTGCCCTATTTGCCATGCCTGGCAGACCGGTTGGCAAAAGCAGTTTCCTATAATGTTAAGTTGTTATCGGGAAGGTGTTGCTGTCTATCTCTTACTTCAGTTTCCCTCTGTCACCTCTTACGACATCCACGCGATATATGTGATAGCGGAGTCACCACACGGTAAATGTTATTGCGATATATTTGTTTACAAATATTTTAAACATTAAAAGTATATTAACAAATTAAATATATGCTTCCAACTGCTGGGCGTTCGATAAATTCAGTGTCGCTGCTAAGACACTGATACACAAAAAAAAAAAAGATTTTTTTTTTAAATTTATTTATCAGATATAAAAAAAAATACAGATATAGGTCTAATTAACATCTAAAAACCATGGAGGTTTGACTTGATGCTAAATAGTTAAGTTTAAGTCAGCATATTATGTACAAAACACAGTCTAAGTAAGTAGTTAGGTATGTGAGTAGGTAGTAGGTATAGTAAGAATAAAGACTAACGGGTGTATTCATAATCATTTTTAAACAGTTCATTAGTTAAAAAGTGTTTTGTCTCATTCTGACATTTGCGAGATACTTGTTGCTAGAAAGTGACAAAACACTTTTTAACTAATGAACTGTTTAAAAATGATTATGAATACACCCGTAAGAAGGTAAGTTGACAACTTAATTAAAACCTCGTTTTCAGAAGCTTTTAAAATAAGTGTGTGAAAATTATTTCATTCAGTTCTTTGTATTCATTTAGGTTTGTACTGTAATAAAGTTTTATTATTTTAAATAATAATATTAATTTACTTTTTATCAGAATGGTACTATAAAATCGCAAAACAAGAAGTTGCGGAATGTGGTAATGCGCGCCATAGATATCGGATACAGGCATTTTGATACTGCCTTTATTTATGAAACGGAAGAGGAGATTGGAGAAGCAATCCGCATGAAGATAGATGAAGGCGTTGTTAAAAGAGATGACATTTTTGTAACTACAAAGGTTAAGTATAAATTTTACAATCCCGTCTTTAGTTTTCAACATATTTCGAAAAATAAACTGTCTAATGATATGATCTTGCCTAAAGTATGAAATGCAAAAGAGTTAACATAATTTTCACCTTTAAAATCGGTACAATGAAACGTAAAGGCGTATTCATACGTAATGTGACCATAAGTCCCGTTATGAATGGAACCCTCCCTTCTTTCGGTGTCCCATTTAATAGCAATAGCAAGATTCGGACAATGCGAAAAACTTAAAGTGGCAATTGATGCAAAAATGTTGCACCTGATATAAAGTTTGTTGTTGCGTGATTTCGGTAACGGTTCCTAAATGAAAATTTTAGATTTCCAAAACCAACCATTTTTCATTCTTTATTTTTATTATTTAGCCCACATTGACATAAAATAATAAAACTGCAAAAATTGTGCTCGTCATTCGTTCGGTATCGTTTTCTAATTTGGTATTAATGTTAAGATTAGATTATAAAACATAATAATGTTTGTAATCTGATACTGTAAACAGGATCGTCTCCTCACCAGAGTACTTTTAAACAAATACCGTAATCGTTTCTAAATCTAATATGCACTTTTTGGTAGGAAAATGTAACCATAATGATAACCTCATACCGTAACAAGGATCCCCTCGGTGGAATCTTAATCGTGATCGTAACTAAATGTTGTAGATTGGAACAACTTGACGGTAACTAGCAGTGGCGTATTTAGGTTCAAAGCCACCCTGGGCTATATAAATTGGCCGCCCTACTGGCCATTGGCTATCGCAATTATACTTACTTATGTATATTTTTATTAAATAATCAAAAATATCAATACACGTTGCATTTAGTTAAATAAAACATTTATTGCAGAGTTTACATATTTTTAAGTTACTTATAAAAATAATTTACTTTAAAATTTTTCTTCGGGACAAATTTTTTCTGTGAGGCTAATGAATCGATTATATAGGAATAGTCCGTATCATATAATAAAATTGATCTATCTTGGTATATATTATACATATTGATCTATCCAAGATAGATCAATTTTGAATGATATATCTAAAATAAATCAATTTTATATTTAATAACAAAATTTTTTTAAACGCCTTTTTAAGCCCAATTACCCTTACGTAAATACACCTCCCTTAAAATTTTAAACAAGTGTTGAATTTAAGGTAGAACACTTTACTTTTGTAAATTTATTTGCATGAAAATATAAAAATTAGCTTTTGATCATTTATTCATTGTTGATTGATTGCCCAATATCCATATTACACTACTATACTATATATATATATATATATATACAGAGCCCCATATATATATTTGCCATAGTTGCTTAACTTAGCAGCCGAATTTTCAACCGCGGTTTTTTATTATTTTGAATTATTATCTTTTGTTTGCTGCTGCTTCATTTTCTGTTTCATTTCCCTTTGTCTTCTCTTACGACACCCTCGGGGTGACATGGAGTAGCGGAATCTCTTGCGTGTCCACTACTCGGCGAGACTTTGATCACTGTAGTACTATAACGTCTAACGCGTGTATATATGAAAGGACAGTCACCCAATTTTCTTAATGGTAAGTCAAAAAATCTATAAAGCATTTTATAAAAACAAGCGGTAGTATATTTTGTTACAAGCTATTCGTGTCTGTCATTACCTGAATGAACTTTTGCGTAGTGCGTATACTCATTTGTATTAGTAACTTTTCTTAATAGAATTCATTAAAAGATCTAAATTCACCATATTTCTCTGTAAACACTATATGATTTCATATCGAGTATTGACGCTCACTGTTTTTATTTAAAATTAACACACATAAACCGAATTCTGCATCGTCTCCCTCTGATAAACTGTCAAGGCTATCAAGCAACACAATATCCATTTTGTTTGAAAGACATTTTTTTTGTAAACGACGAGTGCGGTGTAAATGTAATCCAATGACGAACGCACACTGGTTATAAGATATATCTCACAGTGTGAAAGCCAATCGCGGGATATAATTTATATCTTGGGATATAATATATATTATATCCCATAGTGAAATGGAGCTTAAAAATTTTAACGTTCTGTTCAATTTTCAGCTGTGGAATACACATCACAAGAGGGAACAAGTACCGCTAGTGTTAAAGCAGACTCTGGATATAATGGGTTTAAATTACGTTGACTTATATTTAATGCATTGGCCGATTGGTTTAAACGTAAGTAGCTGATTTGAAATTTTCTATAACTACCTTAAAACTACGACAAAAAACGCAAGGCCCGGGACATCATTCCCTTTTTTTCTGCTCTTCTTAAAAAACTCTTTCCCCTCCATTTTTTTCCTTTTCAGTAACGAGCATACCTGAGCAGAATATATTACTGTGCCCAGGCAAAAGAATTTTCATTCCAAAACAAGTTATAAGTATATAATTATACGTAGGAGAGCCATGCTGCAGCTATATTGGTTGAAGCACGAAATGGGTCGGCCCGACCGGGGTAGCACCACGCTCTCACAGAATACCAGCGTAAAATAGCAGCTAAAGGCTGTTGTGTTTCGTATGGTGAGTGTAGAGAACTGGAGACCCTTTTTACTGGAAACGAGGTATTTTATCTTAGTCCTCAGGGGACGACGACGTAAGTAGGTCACTCAATAAGTTTTGAGATGCTCGAAATTTAAAAATGGAACGCACTCGTGTTATATGTTTCTAAAAAGCAAATTTATTTAAAAATAGAACTCCATAAGCAAATTGCTCAATATAAAAAAATAAAGTTCTATTAATTTTCCTGCAACGCTTCCCGTGCTTTTTATTTTGAACATTTGCGCGCTATGATATATTATGATTTTAAATTTGGTTTAACCGAACCATTAAGTTTATAACGGATAAAATCAGCAATGAAAATGTATGGACTACTGAAATGTTGGTGCGAGAAGACCCACGAATCACATATACGGACATCGAAGACTGTAGGTCAGTCAACTCTGAATGGTATACTACAGTTATATTACCCAAAGCTTTTCAAGCTGTGCGGGAGAGAAGACCAAAGACCTGGCTTCGGGTAATCATGCTACATCATGATAACGCCTCTTCACATACCTCCCTTAGAACAAAAGCATTTATTGAGGAATCTGGTGTTGAAACTCTGTCATCCACCCTACAGCCCTCACTTAGCTCCTTGTGATTTCTTTTTGCTCCCAAGAGTCAAAGAAAAAATAAAAGGCAAGTTTTTTCAAGCGCCGAAGAAGCCGTGGCTGCCTACGATGAAGCGATTTCCGACCTGTCAGATCAAAACTGGCAAGAGTGTTTTCAGAGTTGGTTTAGGCGAATGGAGCCTTATATAGAGCATGATGGAGAATATTTTGAAAAGATGTAAAATAAATATTAATAGTATCTTTTTTTTTATAGAATAGGGGACAAACGAGCATGCGGCTCACCTGATGGTAAGTGACTACCGCCGCCCATGAACAACCGCAACACCAGGGGAATCGCAGATGCGTTGCCGGCCTTTTAGAAAGGTGTAAGCTCTTTTCTTGAAGGTTCCTAAGTCGTATCGGTTCGGAAAATTCGCTGGTGGTAATTGATTCCACAAAGAAGTTGTGCGAGGGAGAAAACTTCTTCTAAATCGCACAGTGGTGGACCGCCAATCATCCAGATGGTATGGATGGTAACGCGAGTTTTGTCGCGATGTACGATAGTGAAATTGAGCGGCTGGAATTAGTCCGAACAATTCCTCAGTGCACTCCCAGTGATAGATGCGATAAAATACGCAAAGAGATGCAACATCTCTACGCAGTGCCAGTGTATCGAGCCGATCGGAAAGAACTCGGTCGTCGACGATTCGCAACGCTCTGCGCTGGATGCGGTCAAGTGGAAGGAGCTGGCACTGGGGTGCCCCGGCCCAGAGATGAGAACAGTATTCCATATGGGGCCGAACTTGCGCTTTGTAAAGTTGCAAGCGATGTGCCGGCATGAAATACTGTCTCGCTCTGCTGAGCACGCCAAGCTTTTTAGAGGCCAATTTGGCCTTCCCTTCCAAATGACCACGAAACTGCTATTCGATATGTCGACGCCAAGGATTCCGATACTGGCTGAGGCAGCAAGGGGAGTGCCTTGAAACTGAGGAGATACGACAAAGGGGTTCTTTTTAGCGGTAAACGCGCAAACTTGTGTCTTCTGGGGATTGAACTGGACTAGATTTAGTCGGCCCCAATCCGAGACTTTGTTCAGCAAAGACTCGACTTCAGACACAAGTTTGTCACGGTACTCGGTGACGTTTTCCCGAGAAATATTGGCACGGCCGGTATATAAGGCATCACCAGTGGTGTCGTCTGCATAGCAATGAGTGTTAGCAGTTTTCAACATATCATTGATATGCAGGAGAAACAGCGTTGGTGATAGCACGCAGCCTTGTGGAACACCAGCGTTGATAGGCTTGAAATCAGAGCATGCACCGTCTACTACGACCTTGATGCTCCGATCAGCAAGAAAACTGGTGATCCATTTGCACAATTTCTCGGAAAGCCCATAGGAAGGAAGCTTCGAAAGAAGCGCCTTGTGCCAGACCCGATCGAAGGCCTTCGCTATGTCCAAACTAACGGCCAATGCCTCCCCCTTGGACTCTACTGCCTCCGCCCATCTATGAGTTAAGTAAACTAGAAGATCACCTGCTGATCGACCCCGACGAAAACCGTACTGACGGTCACTGATCAGCTGGTGATCCTCAAGGTACCTCATGAGCTGGCAGTTTATAATGGACTCCATTATTTTGGAGAACAAGGAGGTGATGGCGATAGGCCTGTAGTTGGACGGGTCTGAGCGGTCGCCTTTTTTAGGGATCGGGTGGACCAAAGCTGTCTTCCATAAACTCGGGACTACGCCTTGGGAGTAGGAGTACCGGAAAAGACGCGTTAAAACCGGTGCCAACTCCGGAGCACACGTCTTCAGCACAATGGGAGGGACTCCATCGGGCCCACTCGACTTGCTGACGCCCAGGGAGAAGAGTGCTTTGCGAACCGAGCGCTGTGTAAATCGTACATCCGGCATGGAGCACTCACATCGCGGGATGGTCGGCGGTGTGTTCCCCCCGTCATCTAGAGTCGAGTTAGACGCAAAGAGAGCACAACAGATCGGATTTCTCTTTTGCGGCATGGGCCAGTGAGTCGTCCTCTCTGTGCAGAGATGGAAGGGATGGCTGACAGAAGTTCCCTTGGACAGCCTTGGCGAGAGACCAGAATGCACGGGTTCCCGAAGGAAGGCGAACTAGCTTCTCGCCAATTCTGCCGATGTACTCAGACCTTGCCTTGGCAATGACGCTTTTGAAGGACCTGGAGGCGGAATTATACTTCTATTTAAGTGCGCTGGTGTTTAAATCCCGAGACGTTGATGCGTCAGCCCAGGCCCGGTAGCACTCCTGCTTATAGCGTGATGCTATTTTACAGGAGCGACCAAACCATGGCTGGGATCTGCCTCCGATGGGCACCACAGAGGATGGAATAAAAAGTTCCATACCCTGAAGTACCACATCAGCAACAGAATCGGCAACAACGCTGGGATCTTCCGGCGAGAAGCAAACCCGCCCCCAAGGGTAGGATGCAAAAAAAGACCGCATCCCGTCCCAATCAGCTGACCTATAGTGCCTAACACGGCGGCAAGCTGCAGATCGCAACTGCGATTGGAGCGTGAGTGGTACCGTGCTCCGGATCAGACAATGGTCCGAAGAGCCCAGAGGGGCATCGACGGAGACCTGATATCCGTCCGGATGAGAGGTCAGCAGAAGGTCCAACAGGGAAGGTACATGGTCTTCCACATCTGGGATCCGCGTAGGCGAAGTAACCAGTTGTGTTAGACCATATGCCAAAGCAAAATCGTAGACAGATCTACCCGCATGGTCGGTTAAACGAGAGCCAAGCTATTCAGCGTGGTGGGCGTTGAAATCATCAAGTATCACGATCTCTGCGGATGGGACCTGTTGTCACGGAGTCTGCAGCCATTTGGACGTGGTCGATGAGTCGGTCTGTGTCGGCATTACCGCTATGGGACCTATAGAGGCACCCATAGACGCGGGGATGGTCGTCGCTGTCTACGCGCAGCCATAGGATGGACAGGTCCGTACCTTCAAGGCTGCCGAGGCGTCGAAAACAGATGTCTTCTCTGACGTATACACAAACTCCAGCCCGGGGCACAAAGGAGTGTTCCAATTTGTATCCCGGGTAGGAGAGATATGAAGTATCAGCCGGAGAGGACACCTGAGTCTCGGTTAAATAGAGCAAGGCCGGCTTCGCCGTCTCTAGATGGTAATGGACAGCGTTAAGGTTGGAATGAAGTCCCCTGATGTTGCAAAAATTCACGGATAGCGTGACAGGGGTCGCCTTGGTTGTATTGCTCCGCTTGCCCCGAGCAGCATTAGTCGCGAGCGGAATTTTGCCCCCCCCCCCCCCCAGAATACGCGGGGCAGCCTGAGCACCCACGCTCAGGAGTGAAGTAGTTTGGTCGTGGATGCTCAGCGAGGGATTCTCCAGGGGAAGAAGTATCAAGATATACAAGAAGTATCTAGAATACTTTTTGTATATCTCAAAACTTATTAAGTGCCCTACGTATTTGCGTTTTGATTCTGAATTTACTACTATACTACCATCTTGGTGGACTGTGTGCTCGTTTGTCACCCTTATTCTAAAAAAATGTCCTTTACGATTGTTTTCAGGAAGATTACACTTTCTCCAATGTCGATTTCATGGAAACCTGGCGAGGGATGGAAGATGCTCAGAGACTTGGTCTAACAAAAGCTATAGGCGTCTCCAACTTCAATGCTGAGCAGTTAAAGAGAGTTATTGAAGAAGGAAGTATAAAACCCGCCGCTATTCAAATTGAGGTTTCTAATTACATATTTTATTAATTTTTCATTAAACTAGAAATTTATTCGTGAACTACTGTTGCTGGAGTGGGTCACATATATTAAAAGTTTAAAAAAAAACTGAAGTGACAAACGAACTTACAGTTCACCCGTTGGTAGGTTGCTACTGCGGTTACTTCTGCAGCCAACTTGAAATAAAAAAGGCTACTAGGCTAGGCAAGGCTTAATAATTTTTTTTAATTTTTTACCATAATTTCTGGGGATTAAGGTAGAATGCCTCACAGCCTGGAATTATACTGGCTCTCTATACCCTTTATACCAGAACACAGCTGTGCAAGTACTCCTATTTGGCGGCAGAAATAGACAAAAGATGGTGGCAGTCTGGATAGGCCAGACGTACTACTAGGCTGTAAAAGGAGTCCTACCGCCTAGGCTTGGGCAAACAATATCGATATATCGAAATATCGATATTTTTCCATAAAAATTATTATATACCTAGTCAGGTCATAAATTCTGTCACATGTTTAATATAAAATAATTGAAACAAGTTTATTCATTATATAACCATTTATATACCAAAATGAACTTAACAAAACATAGATTCTTATGACACTAAAGTTTATTCAAAATGACCTCCGTGATTTTGAATACAGGCCTTCAATCTGCGCGGCCAGTCGTCTATCGTAGCACGAACGAGGTCCATGTCAATATCGGCGGCTGCCTTAATCAAGGATGTCTTGAGTGACTCCAAATTGGGATGAGGCTTTGAGCACGCCTTTTCCTCCAAGTGTTGCCATATCTTGTAATCTAACGGATTCAAATCTGGACTGGAGGAGGGCCAGTCTTCGTGCCGGATGAAGTCGATTTCACGCGCCGCCAGCCAGTTTTGTGTGCTCTTCGCTCTATGAGCTGGCGCCGAATCTTGTTGGAATACCCAATACCTGTTATTGAACATAGTATGAGAAACAGGTTCCACAAGGTTCGTCAGGACTGTATTTTAATACACAACTGCATTCGTTTTTACATCTTTCTCACAAAAATGTACCTCTGTTAAGCCCCAATAAGAAACTCCCAACCATACCATGAGCGAGGATGGAAAATGACCTCGTTGGACACGCGGAATACGGTTGCTCGCTTCTTCACTACTGTGTGCATACACCTTATCATTTTGTTTGTTGTAGCTCTCTTCTACGGTAAAAATTTTTTCATCCGAAAAAAGAATTTCCCGATATTTTTTCCCGCGTACCGCTTCAACAAAGCGCGGCATCTCTTCAGTCTCAGGTCCATTAGACGAGCATTCAAACGATGTCTTGTTTTTCTTCGAATTTTTTATTCAATATAGATCACATATGTAATTCTTATTGAAAGTCATTTTTTACTCTACCACTGGTTCAAAAAAAACCTCTATCCTGGGAAGAACCAGCAAGAAACCCAGCGGACCTTTATTAAAAAGCAAATTTTACATTAATGTTTGTACAAACTATATAAGTACAAAATTTATTTTAGAAACAGCTTGGAAGTGACCACCTCATTCCCAGGGGTTATTATCAACCATGTATTCATTTATACTAAAATAACCCTTTTTATATTTCAACTTAACAAAACATTTAAACTTGGTAATAGAGAGAGCCTGTACACTTTCTGGGACCTTGTTGTAATAGCGTGTACATTGCCCCAAGAATGAATTAGTGGAGTCGAGAAACTGGTATCACTAGCTTGTGTTTGTTCCTAGTGTTTACAGAATGTATATCACTTTTTTTACTAAAACTATCTTTGTTTTTGTGAACATACATTAAATTTTCGTAAATATACTGAGAGGCCAAAGTTAATATATTAATTTCTTTTAATTTATCTCCAAGAGACTCTCTCGGTTTTAGGTTGTAAATAGCTCTAATGGCCCTTTTCTGTAAAACAAAAGTAATTTCTGAATTAGCCGCATTTCCCCATAGCAAAATCCCATAAGACATTATGCTATGGAAATAATTGAAATAAACTAATCTAGCTGTCTCGACACTAGTGAGGCCTCTATTCTTGTTTAAAGCATATGCTGCAGAACTTAGTCTGCTTGCTAGTTTGGATATATGGGGGCCCCACTGAAGCTTTGCGTCAAGAGTGATGCCAAGAAAAACAGTGGATTCAACAGGGCTCAGTTCTTCCCCATTTAAAAACACACTAAAGGAGGCTTGTGCCCAGCAGTAGGACCTGTATCGGCTGTAACTTTACTTTTACTTTAAGCGACTGAGCGAATCATTTTAATGAACTGGTCGTCCTATACCAAAATAGTATTAATGTAATTGAAAAAAAAAGAGTTGTGCTTACAGATGTACTTTTTTCACCGTCTGCAACACTAGGCGAATTGCAGGTGCATTGCCTGTCTTTTAGAAATGAGGCGGCTCTTTTTTAACGTGGTAGAGCCACGCTGCACCTATGTTATGGCTGTAGCATGAATGGGTCGGCTCGACCGGAGTAGTACCACAGTCTCACAGAATACCAACGTAAAATAGCAGCTTTTGCTGCCGTGTTTCGTATGGTGAGTGTAGAGAACCGGATACCCTTTTTAGTGGAAACGAGGCATTCCAGTTTAGTCGTCAGGGGCGTCAATGCATCTGCATTTTGATTCCTATTTCAGTATTAATGTATATGTCTATGGACCACAGTATCTACTTACCATCAGGTGGACTGTGTGCTCGTTTTTCACCCTTATTTTATAAAAAAAGAGGTCCCAACTATAATCGAAAAGTACTCGATCGCCATTTCGCCGCAGGCAGATCGCATTACCAGATGTCCGGCATTTTTGGCACGGTTTTCTGTCGCCAGTCAAGGTATTTTATATTATTTCGAATACTTATACGAATGGTCATGGCATCATTTGAAGGCAATGAGGTATTTCTCCCTTTATGAGGCAACCTATGGGGAGGTCTATGTTCAGCAGTGGAATTTAATAGGCTGTAACAGAGGTATTTCTGGCCTTGCTAGCCTCTTCCAATGTCCACAAGACGACAAGATGGAGTGATGGATTCTCTGATGGAGTCCACACGGTAAATTTCCTATAGATGATAGTCGATCGTCTAATATATTTTGTATTTTGCAGATTCATCCACAGATTACACAAGCTGACTTGATCGAGTATGCCAGGTCGGAAGGCATAGTGGTAATGGGTTATAGTCCATTTGGCTCTCTGGTTATGAGATTCGGCATGCAATTCCCGGGTCCCAAAATGGATGATCCGGTTTTGGTAGAAATTGCAAGAAAATATAACAAAACGACAGCGCAAGTTATATTAAGATGGCAGGTAAGAAAATACATATTTCACTGTGATCTTCCAGTGACACGAAGCTAACCAAGGCTCTTTCCTCAATTCATTTCCGTTTAGTATATTCTTGATACTGTTTTAGTTACATTTTAAGCAGAATCATGGCTTTTATATGCTGATGCTATTGCGTTGACGGAAAGGGACAAGTGTAAACCTAAGAAAACGGTTAACATTTGGAAACATGTGTGGTGTAAAGCTTTAAGTGACGAAAACAAAGCAGATTTTGTTTAATGTTTTGGATCCGTATTACTAGTGTTCGTAGAAATTAACGACAACATTCATGCCCGCATTATAGCTTGAAGTTAATGGCCAAAATTATATTTAGTCTAAATTGCAATCTAGCTTAAGAAAGGCCTGCTCTATAAATCAATATAGCAAATGTCTGCACTTTACGTACTTAGGGATGATTCTCATTAGAGCGAGCTGTGCCCGGGGCGGGGCCCGAACGGGGCACGGTTTTAATCTGTAACATATATTTTGTATGAATCAATTTATATTACACAGTGCATTATCCGTGTCCCGTCCGGGCCCGCTCGACGCACTTCAATACCACGTTGCATATCAACGGATATTACTTAGATTAATGATAAGTGATCGCTCTGACGCGCGATGACTTATCATTAATCTATGGGACATTAATTAAATTGCGGAAGACAGTGAACTGATTGTATTGCAAATTTATAACTTTAATTACTATATTTTAGGAATGATTGTTGTTTTTTACCGTCGGACTATTTTATTGTTTTTACATTTAAAAGTGGTTTTGATAATAACGTTAGACAAAACTACTATCAATTTCACTTTTTGAATTTTCGAAATTAATTCAATTTTTTCAATAGGTATTATATTTTATATCATTATAATGTATGCGGCTTTGAGGTGGCTCTTGGGACATCCCAGCCGCACGTGGTAGAGCCATGCTGCAGCTATATTAGTAGTATAGTTGTTGCACGAATGGGTCGGCTCGACCGGGGAAGGACCACGCAGCTTCTAAAATAGCAGCTTAACACTGCTTTGTTTCGTATGGTGAGTGTAGAGAACCGGAGACCCTTTTACCTGGATAAGAGGCATTCCATCTTAGTCCTCACGGGTGACAACGCATCTGCATTTTGATTCTTTTCTGAGGATAGATCTAGATGTCTATAGGTCACAGCAACCACTTACCATCAGGTGGACTGTGTGCTCGTTTACCACCCTATCCTATAAAAAAAATCCTTAACCTATTGTTATTTGGCAGATTACCTAGGAAGTCTGCAGATTAAATACTTAAAGTAAAAACTGAATAATTTTTTGTATTTTAACAAATTCAGCCAGCTAATCTGCAGATTACCTAGCTAGTTAATCTGCGCTATAATTCATTAACGCACTTTAGCGTTAACATATTATATACAGACGAGAAAAAAATGAGATAAACTGAAAAACTTTTAACTTCTTACAGGTTGACAGAAATGTGGTACCAGTGCCAAAGACGGTGAACTACGAACGATTGAAGGAAAATATTGATATTTTCGATTTTAAATTAGAACAGCAAGAAATTGATAAAATAAACCAATATGATAGTCATGTCAGATATACCTTCCCGACCTTTTGGCAGACTCATCCGTATTATCCATTTGAAAAGGTCGATAATCCTCTATCAGATCCTTTTATCGGAAGAAAAGTTAACTCGTTTAGTAATACGAAATCGTAAAAGATCTATAAGTAATTACAACTTTTTAAAGACACTTTTTTATTTACTAAACAAATTTGAAGTGCATATTTTAGAAAATATTCTTTATTTCACTATTTATTAAGTTAACCAAAGCATTTCCCATGTAAAATTTACAAAAGAACTATGCAATTGCTAATTCTATGTACCTACGTAACATAATTACGAGGAAGCCTGTATTGAATGTGGCATTCCTTGAAGGAGGCTTATGTTCAGCAGTGGACTTGTGAAGGGCTGTAATGATGGTGATGTATACATTCACTATGTGAAACAAACTTTAATTTTTCTTGTTTGTATAAAATTAAAATGTAGGTAATCCCTAATACAGTAAAAATGTTCTTGTTTGTGTTAGTGGCGTGGCGTGGTGGATAATCGCTAATCGGAGAACTAACGATATAGTATTTTTGGAACGAAGTTCCTTATCGGACGGTACGAATTTGGCGGATTGGAGCTAGGCGAGAAAAAGTGTAAGATTTTTCCGTCACGACCCCTGCTTACGAAGTGTAGAAAGAAATATTATTTTAAATGACGCTTCATTTTAATAGACGCTAGTACATACATAATTCATTTATTTGTATTTGTTAATCAATAATATAATTATAAAAAATTACTACGAATGTGTGAGTGGAGTGTTCCACGACACTCACGCATGTTTTTTATTTTTGTATTTAGTATTCACCACAAAAAAACAGAATTAAATTATTTAAATAAAATTCATATGTACAGTAAGTACCTAGATTAATAGGTATACATAATAACAAAGAGATTTAAATATATCTACCACTACTTAAATGTCTTTGCATAATAATAACCAACCTGCAAAGGTACTTACAGAAGAATAACCACCGAGTCTATAATTTAGCTTTATTTAGCATTAGTTATTTTAATTCGGTAAGCAATTCAATATTCAGTTCTTTTTTTATAGTATATGATGATTGTTTACATGTTTTTATTTTTATTCAATTCCAATTTAATTTAATATCATTTCCTTTATTTGTTTAGTTATTATAGAAACTTTATTTTACTATGATATTTTTCCGGTTTTAAGCATATTTAAAAAATGGAGTTTCATGTTCATGTGTATTAAATATTATAAACAAATCATTCCAATAAAATGATGTGAAATGACAATATATTTCATTTATACTTTTTTTTGGAGTTTTTGGCCTGGTATCTAGACCTCTCTAATAGGCTTTAGGCCAGGTCTTGAGTATTTTTATTCGGTTTATTTTAATTTCCCCAAATGTGTAATTATCCTTCATAGTTCACTGCTTCACAATATGTTGATGCGTCACATTGTGCAGCCCTTGGGAGATTTTCAACTTGAGCCAGCAGACAGCTGACAGTTGGCGATGGTATCTCAAGGCGCCTATGCAGACAAACAGCTTATCTTGAGAATTACATCACCATCAGAGCACTTGTTTCACCGTTTCCACTAATAGTTCACATGCGTAGACAGTTAATACACAAAATCGCACCACTTTTACGTATCAAAATCCACTTCAAACTATTATTTAAACTGTAATACATTAGCAGCAAACCACCGCCGGTCAAGTTCCCGCCAAAACTCCTTATATTTCATTTATATTAAAAAAGCGCGTTGAGAAAAACGGCTCTATATCCATAGGACCGTCAATTTAGTCTTGCCTATGGTCAATCAATCGATTTCGGAACGAAACAGATCGGTGGCTCTGGCGTAACACCAGGCCTGTCTCACTCCGCGCTTTCGGCATGAATATATACCTACGCCACATGAGTAAAGAAACTGTACGAATTATTTACTCATGTGCCTACGCTACACGGCCGCCTACGAGAAACTAATTCCGTGAGGTTATCACGTACGCACTTGAGCATCAGCTCAAGCTCGCGCATCAGCGCGCCTTACGTTAATAAAAAGTATTTTTCTCTTATAAGTATTTAGGCACTTTTGATATTTATTTTTGAGTTTTTATTCAAGTATGGCCTCTCAAAAAGTCAAAAGGTACTGCAAAGCATACGGGTGCTTAAATAACAATAGGAATGTTGAATTTTCATTCTTTACTGTTCCTAAGGATACCGAAAAGTAAGATATTATTATTTATAGGTAGATCTAGATAATTACATACCTAGTTACTGACGCCATAGTAATAATTTCGTTATTTGATCAGCGACCCGACCATAGCTTCGCAGTTTTCGATTTTTTCGCGTATAATGCCAATGAACTTAAAAACATTCACTGTAAATAGACCTCCCAGTACCAGTGACTGCTTACTAATGCAAGATCAGCATATACTGGTTATTTGCTTAACACTTGGTCGATAAAAGAAAGAGATTGAAAATAGCAGCACTTCTCATTGCCGCTTTTTCATTAATAATGAAGTCACGTGCCGCATGTTTTTAAATAGCAAAAAATGTGAAACAGACAAGTGACGGCTTCGTGGCGCAGTGGGTTAGCAATGAGTTGCAGCGCTAAGAGTCGCGGGTTCAGTACAGTAGAATTGAGTACATTCTCTCTTTTAGAAGTCGGTTAAAACGCTGAGCAGGTAAATTATCTGAGTTTCAAAGACGTTCACGTTGTTATAATCTTAATTTTTCTCGATGTTGCACATTAACCTTCCTCACATTGAACAATAATGTTCCCTCGATGTATTCTACTACCAATTAATATCAAAGTATTTAATTTGCTTTATCACAACACGTAACCCTACAGTAGGTGCGGCCTTAACAAAGGTGCGTAACGGGCTAAGTAATACAGACTCTCGCACGTGAACGTAAGGTGTATTTTGATTTAATACCCGCGCTGCATTAAATTTTTAATCGGTTATAGTAATTCTGCCGTGTAGTCCAATCCAATAATATCCACTACCCCATATCTTCCCGTGAGTGCCGTAAAAGGCGACAAAGGGAGACAGGCAGGCAAGATGTTGCTGCCCATTTCCTGATGGGCAGCAGCATCTTCCCGGTAACAACAAACTTACAATAAAAAAAAATTGCGGTTGCCAACCCGCTCGCCAGGCGTGGCAACTATGGCAAATACCCTCCCCCTATAATGAGAGTAACAAAGAAACGGCCCGCAGTCCCCGGCGGCCCCGCTATTCCTGGCTACGCTGGCGACCATGGTAATGGCGGGGCAGGGGGTGCTAAGAATCTACGGTGGAGGTTCAGTTGCCACCTAAGATGACCCCACCTGGCAACATACAACGCACGCATCCTGAGGACTGACGAGAAGATCGTGGAGCTGGAAGAAGAGATAGACAAGTTATGCTGGCATATTATAGGATTATCCGAAGTCCGAAAAGAGGGGGAGGACACGGTAATCCTCGAATCCGGCAACTTGCTCTATCACCGGGAGGGCGACCATATGTCCCAAGGAGGTGTCGGATTTATCGTCCACAAGTCTCTCGTTAACAACGTTGTAAAGATTGAGAGGGTGTCGACGAGGGTTGCGTACCTTATACTCAGAATCACCAAACGGTATTCGCTGAAGGTCACACAGGCTTACGCACCAACCTCGGCACACCCCGATGAGGAGGTGGAGGAAATGTATGAGGATACTTCTAGAGCCATGCATTCCTCCAAAACCCAATATACGGTGTTAATAGGAGACTTCAATGCAAATCTAGGCACAAGAGAGAACGGTGAGCTGAAAGTAGGGAAATTTGGAATAGGGTAACGGAACCCAAGGGGCCAGCAGCCGGCCGACTTCATGGAGAAAGAGGGACGGACTCTTTATGATGAACTCTTTCTTCCAGAAGCGGCCCCACGGGAAGTGGACCTGGTCGAGCCCCGACGGTTCCACAAAAAATGAGATATTTTTTTATAGGAGAGGGGGCAAACGAGCATGCGGCTCACCTGATGGTAAGTGACTACCGTCGTCTATGAACAACTGCAACACCAGGGAGGGAATTGCAGATGCGTTGCCGGCCTTTTAAAAAGGAATAGGCTCTTTTCTTGAAGGTCCCTAAATCGTATCGGTCCCGAAAAATCGCTGATGGTAATCGATTCCACAAGGAAGTCGTGCGAGGAAGAAAACAGTACAGTGATGTCTCAGTGATCGCGAGGGTGAAAACTGGTAGCGATCACCGAATGGTTACAGGCACACTGAACCTAAACGTTAAGTTGGAGAGGTCGCGTCTAATGAAGTCAACTATCCGTCCCCCTCGTGCTCTGTTCCAAAATCCCGAAACCTTTCAGCTCGAGTTACAAAACCGTTTTCAGTGCCTAGAAGACTGCAATGAAGTGGACGATGTGAATGACAAGTTCGTGGAAACTGTCCATGCGGTCGGAGCTAAGTTCTGCAACACCCGCCGCAGAAGAAAATAAAAACTCTCCGATCACACTCTTAATCTCATGGCTGTTAGACGGGAGATGAAGCTACATTCTTCAACAGATTTGACAGCGTACAGGCAATTAAACAGACATCCCCAAATGCATGCGGCGGGACTTACGCAACTTCAATACAGCTTGTTTTGAAGAAGCGATCGAGCGGACCCAACGCTCCAAAGTCTTTGCCAGACATCTGTCTGCCAGAAAGAGCCAACTGTCAAGGCTGAAGACCGAGTGTGGCAGCATCGTTTCCGGGGCACCTGAGACTTTGAGTGAGATTGAGAGGTTCTATGGGCAGCTGTACACGTCATTGTTGGAGCCACACGCAAGTGTAAGCAACGATCCAAGAGCGAGTCTTATCCGACAATTCCGAAGATATCCCGGACGTCAGTCTGAGCGAGATTAGAATGGCTCTCCAGCACCTTAAAACAGCAAGGCCCCAGGCGAGGATGGAATTACAGCGGAGCTTCTGAAAGCGGGTGGAAGACCGGTACTTAAAGTCCTTCAGAAGCTCTTTAATTCTGTCCTCCATGGTGGCATTACACCGGAGGCGTGTAGCAGAAGTGCGGTGGTCTTGTTGTTTTAGAAAGGTGAAAACGCTCTCTTGAAGAACTACAGACCGATTTCCCTTCTGAGCCGCGTCTACGTGCTGTTTTCGAGAGTCATTACGAATCGAC